AAGGGGAGTTTTTCTAAACTCTTACTTTACTTTGCTTATGATTTAACCTTGTAAAATTGTTCCATCAAAATACATGGTTTTGTCATCACCAGAAAGGGGGAGATTGTTAGAACAATATTTGGATTCGGGTTTAATCTTTGGATTTTGATGATAACAAGCATATATTTTATGAGAAATAATTTTAGTATTAATGGTTTCATTGAGTGTATAAATACATTATTAGAATTCTGGATAGTCTTAATCAAGATATCATCAAAATCACTTCACCACTCAGAAGAAGAACCATTGAGTTCTATTTCTAATGAAACATCAGTAGTTCTATGAAATGTTGAATGTTCGACAAGAAAAAAATCTCAATAAGTCTCCAAGAAGAAAGAATTTATGGTAACATGTTGCTTCAAGATCAGAAATCAAGAGAGACAAGAAACAAGCTTCCAACGCAGAAGGTCAGAAGTCAAGACTAGTTCATTAGAAGAGTTGTTGCTTATGATTCTAAAGACGAAGTCAATATTTTGAACACATATAGAGAAAGATTCCACTCCAAGATCATAAGTCAAGGTTTGTTCATCATAAGAGTTGTTGCTCACATTTCTGAAGTCAAAGTCAAGATTCTGAAGACTTGAAGAGTTCATGGAATACGCAACTTCATTCAACATCAGAAGTATTCCATCAGAAGAAAGGATCAAAGAAAGAAAGATCTTGTGGACTCATTTTTAATCAACATATAAAATTCCATCATAAGACAAAATCAAAGGATGATATCTTCTCAAACCAATCTACTCGGCATAAGTAATATTCATTAGAAGAAATACATCATCGGAAAGTACCATTGCGCTCAACAAAAGAAATATTGTGACTGTTTCTATATAAACATCAGCAGTTCTAAGGAATGCTGAATATTCATCAGAAAGGGAATCAATCTAAAGATCAAGAGATCATAAAGAAGGAATTCAATGTCAAAATCAGATGTACTGATATGAGTTATTGCTTCAGAAATCAGACATCATATATGTAGCTTAGAAAACCTGATTATCAATAATCAAGGATCACCTCAAGAAGTCAAGATCAAAAAAACTTTCGCTCAAAGAAGACATTGTTCATCAGATAAGTTGTTGCTTATATATATATATATATATATATATATATATATATATATATATATATATATATATATATATATATATATATATATATATATATATATATATATATATATATATATATATATATATATATATATATATATATATATATATATATATATATATATATATGAAGACAATGTTTAACTATATGAAAGATTCTGACAATACAACAATGAAGCATCTTCTGGATAATTATCACTCCTCAATCAGAAACAATCCAGCAAGAAGAAAAGAAGACAAAGACAAGATCAAGAGATATCTTCCAAGCTTAGTACTTCAACCAGAAGTAAATCATCAGAAGATAAAGTCTTAAGAAACTTATCCACAAAGTTTACAGTACAATCAATATGTTCAAAATACTCCACTACTTGCTTAAATATTGTACTATGTTGTCTCCCACGATGAAATACTACCATTATTGTAGTTAGAAAGTGAAAGCGACGTCTTCGTAATACCAACGGTCTTATTCTTAAGTATATATAAAGAGACCGCAATAGCATTAAAATATTGACGAACCATCAACTATTATCACGCTTGATTCAAATTGTTGAAATATTGTGAAACATCAAGAGAAAAGAAGAATCACTTTCATGTACATCTACAAATATTCTTCTAGAGAAATATCAAGAACACAAGAGTTGTTGTTCGTTATTGTGTTAAGATATTAGGGATTAAACACAAGGAGTTGTTGCTCATTATTTGTGTGTTAATCTTAGAGTTCTCAATACAAAGAGTTGTTACTCATTATTTGTATTAGAGACGTTGTTCTTCATTGTTGTATTCATCTGCTTATTTAGAAGAAAACATTGTAAACACAATTGATTGTAATTCTGTTAATAATTGATTATTACCTCAAGTGACTAGGTTGATAGTCTAAGACTTGAGATGGTTAAGGTATCAGCTGGACTCTTAGACAATTGTGGTTAGTCATCGAGGGGTAGCCCATACATTTGTAATTTGTTGAGATTAGTGGATTAAATCCTTGTTGAAGGCGAAATCATCTGAGGATGGTGGACAAGAGTAGCCTAGTTACAGGTGAACCTGGATAAACCAAAGTGTCTTTTATAGTATTTCTCAAGTTATATTCTTTCTAGATAGTTTGTGAAATATTTAACAAAGTAAAAGCTTAATAGAAAACTCAATTCAAAACCCCTTATTTCTTGTGTTTTTCTCACCTTCACCCTTAACCTCACACATGCATTGGTCCCAGAAAATCTCTTCTCTCTTAAGTGTTTCTAGGTTTTATGACATTTCCCTCATCATCACACTTTCTTATCGTTATCGTTTTTTTCGAAAATAAAGAGAAAACAACAAAATAAAAAAAGAGAAGGAAATACATGAAGAAGGTGAGCGTCTTGGTAAGAGGCGAGCTTCTCTGGAAACATAACGGTATTGACTGTTGAGATGAAAAAGAAAAGAAAGAGAAAATTAAATAGGGGCCCAATGAACAGTGCGCTTGGGGAAGGAAACATATCCAAATAAGCAGACCCTGATAAAATTCATCATTGCGCTATGAGAGAGAAAATTACTCAAGAGATGTCGCTCTTCCGTTCATGACACGTGCGCAGAGGCGAGGACATGTTATAACCCAATCCAAACCTTAAATATGTCCCGCGCTTTTCTTGACCGGACACTTCATTCTTACAAGATAATTTGTACTCGGGGGGCTTATGTACATCCCGAAAATATTAGCTTTACTGGGTCATAAAGTCGTCTAGAAAGGGAACAAAGCGAGGTATAACTCGACTAAAGGTCAAGGACGACAGTCATTGTATCTGGGCAACAACCAATTTGCGTTACCAACCCGGATGTCGCACGTAAACGGAGTCCATATGCTCGTAGCCGACTAACAACCTGACTCATTAATGATTGTAACAATTGTCGGTGCATGCAGTCTTGAACGCACTCATTCATGGTGACAACACCAGTTATACGATTCAGAAGTCAAAGAGTCACCTCTTGAATGTGGCTCTTAATAATACAACATTAAGACTATATAAAGGGGCTCCCGCGAGAGAGATAAGTAAAACATTCATTCTTGAGTTCATACGAACACCTTCGTTCCACTAAAATCCCCAAATCATCGTATATTAAGACTCTCCTTGTCCCTACAAGGAAGTTATATAGTTTAATACTTTTCGCAAGAACAACAACAACAACAATAATAATAATAATAATAATAATAATAATAATAATAATAATAATAATAATAATAATAATAATAATAATAATAATAATAACAACAACAACAACAACAACAATAATAATAAAAACAACAACAACAATAATAATAATAATAAGAATAATAATAATAACAACAATAATAATAATAATAACAATAACACCAACAATAATAATAATAATAATAATAATAATAATAATAATAATAACAACAATAATAATAATAATAATAATAACAACAACAACAATAACAATAATAACAACAACAACAACAACAATAATAATAATAATAATAATAATAATAATAATAATAATAATAATAATAATAATAATAATAATAATAATAATAATAATAATAATAATAACAATAACAATAACAATAATAATAACAATAACACTAATAATAATAATAATAATAATAATAATAATAATAATAATAATAATAATAATAATAATAATAATAATAATAATAATAATAATAATAATAACAACAACAACAACAACAACAATAATAATAAAAACAACAACAACAACAACAATAATAATAATAATAATAATAATAATAATAATAATAATAATAATAATAATAATAATAATAATAACAACAATAATAATAATAACAATAACAACAATAATAATAATAATAATAATAATAATAATAATAATAATAATAATAATAATAATAATAATAATAATAATAACAATAATAATAACAATAATAACAATAACAATAATAATAATAATAATAATAATAATAATAATAATAATAATAATAATAACAACAATAACAATAAAAATAATAACAATAACAATAACAATAATAATAATAATAATAATAATAATAATAATAATAATAATAATAATAATAATAATAATAATAATAATAATAATAATAATAGTTAAATATGTTTTTGTTCCTAAAAGATTGCCAAATTCTATTTTTGGTTACTATAATTTTTTTCTTCATGTTTTGGTCCGTACAAAATTATTATGCATGTAGTTTTAATTCCTCAGTTAAACTAATATATATTTTTAAATGATTATTTTGCATACATGTTTAGAATATTATAAAAAATTATTATAGAAAACTAATTCAAAATTTGATTTATAAGTCAAGGTTTTCATTATTTTTATCATTATCTTTTGAAATTTTAGAAAATTCATTTTTAATTCTTCATATTTAAAAAATAATTAAATTTTGATAAAAAATATTTTATAGTATTTTAAACACACATGAACAAAATCATTTAAAAATTCAAAAATATAAAAATTATTAAATAATTTTCAAAATTTTAGAATATAACAAGAATTAAAACTTCTTGTAAAATTTTTATAAAAACTAAAAAATATATATTTTTTATGAGAACTAAAAATAAAATTTAAAATATTTATAGAGATAAAAAATAAATTAAACCCTAATAATAATAATAATTGGCAAACTTTTGTCTATTGGTTAATGCAAAGTGAAACAATGAGAAATGGCCCATGGGTTTAATATTAAAACTTGACGCTGCCGCTTCCGATTCTCTTCAGGCATGGCGCAGACGCCGGTATTGAACGCCAGTACCCGCCATCCACAGTGACCGGAATTGGTTTAACGAACTCGTCATTCCACTTCCAACTCATCATCATAGACATAGACGATGAAGTTCAAGTTGAAGTTCTTTCTCTACAATGCCAACGCCATCATCATTCCCAACTCGCAACTTCAAGCGCTTCAAACCCACCGATCTGTGCATCGTCAAACCCATCCTCTCTCCAAAATCCAGTCTCTCCGAAGCCGTTTCTTCTCTTGACCTTTTGCACCCCAAAGGCATTCGCTTACCCTCCAACGTTCTCGTCACTCTCTTGCGCCGTTGCTCTGACACCAAGTCTTACCGTGAGGGTAAGCTTGTTCACCTTCATTTGAAGCTTACTGGTTTCAAACGCCCCACCACTCTTATTGGTAATCATTTGATTCATATGTACTTCTGTTGCGGCGATTATGTTCATGCACGCAAGGTGTTTGATAAAATGGAGGTTAGAAATTTGTATTCTTGGAATAATATGCTTTCTGGGTATGTTAAATTGGGGATGATGAAACAAGCTAGGAGTATGTTTTATCAAATGCCTGACAAGGATTATGTGTCATGGAACACTATGGTGGTTGGTTATGCACACTGTGGGAGATTTAGTGAGGCTTTGAGGTTTTATGGAGATTTGAGGAGATTGTGTATTGGTTATAATGAGTTTACGTTTGCCAGTGTATTGATTATTTGTGTGAAATTGAAAGAATTTGAACTTTGTAGGCAGATTCATGGGCAGGTTTTAGTTGTTGGGTTTTTATCCAATGTGGTTGTTTCTAGCTCAATTGTAGATGCTTATGCAAAATGTGATAACATGGTAGATGCAAAGAGATTGTTTGATGATATGTCCGTGAGGGATATTCCTGCCTGGACGACATTAGTTTCAGGGTATGCTTTATGCGGGGACATGGAATCAGCTGCCGAAATGTTTAGTCAGATGCCTAAGAAAAATTCGTATTCGTGGACTTCTTTGATTGGCGGTTATGCAAGAAATGGTATGGGTCATAAAGCTCTTGGAGTGTTTAGAAAGATGATCCAGCAAAAAGTTAGACCTGATGAATTTACTCTCAGTAACTGCCTGTTTGCCTGTGCTACTATTGCTTCACTGATGTTTGGTAAACAAGTACATGCATTTTTGGTGCGCAATAATGTCACACCTAATCCTGTTGTTGTAAGTGCTATTGTTGACATGTACGCAAAATGTGGAAGCATGGAGACCGCCTGGCAAGTCTTTAATTTCAGCGGAAATTTGCAAGATGTAGTGTTGTGGAACACCATGATATCAGCACTAGCTTACTATGGCTATGGTAATGACGCAGTTATGATGTTCAATGATATGCTGAAATCAGGAGTGAAGCCAAATAGGACCACCTTTGTTGCCATTCTAAATGCTTGTAGTCACTCTGGCCTTGTTCATGAAGGGCTTCAGTTTTTCAAGTCCATGAATATCGAGCATGGTGTTGTTCCTGACCTAGAACTCTATGCACACCTAATTGATCTTTTTGGTCGATCTGGATGTTTTAACGAGTCGATGAAGGATCTATTCATGATGGATTGTAAACCAGGGGACCGTGTTTGGTATTCTTTGCTTGGTGTATGCAGTTTGAATGGAAGTCTACGACTCGGCAGAGAAGTAACTGAATTCCTTATTAAATGGCAGCCTCAATCTTCTGTCGCTTATGTAGTACTTTCTAGTATATATGCTGCACTTTTGAAATGGGGATTGGTTGAAGAAGTAAGACATATTATGGATGAGAGACGCTTGAGGAAAGATCTGTCCATTAGTTGGGTTGAAATTGAAAATGAGGTCCATGCTTTCACTGGATCAGATGGATTGCACCCTTTGAAGGAAACATTATACTCAGCTTTGGGGCACTTAAATAACCAGATAGAAGACAATGCCCTACACCTAACTGAAAGATAGAAAAATTCCTTTTCCAGATTGGTTATTTTTTGTAGAGAGCATACTTTTGCTATTTTTACCTTCGTTTGTCATTCCAGATTCTGCAGAGTAGAGTTTCCATGATGATATATTTATAAGATTACCTCCAGTAAGAAACTGAGGACGAATGAGAAGGGAGGTTGGTGGGAAGAACCGACAAAAAGAGATGATTTTCATGAAAAATTTCTTGCTTCCTTTTTATACGCAAATAGATTTGTTTGTATTTTCACCAACAAAAACCTACAATAACTTTTTTATCTGGCATCTACCATCCCCTTCCTATTTTTTGGAATAGTCTCTTTCCTTAATATGACTTGAATTGTCTTCCATTGGGGGATGATGGAAAATGGCAATGCTAAGTGTGAATGGCAAAACAGATTTTGCAATGGGCTCACTCAAAGCAAAACAGATTACTGATAGGTGGATACCATAAGATTTTGGGATGGCTGATTACCACAGAAATTCCTGCGTTGACATTAGGTGGAGGAATATTTCATGTTCTAGTTCACACAGTATCATCCATTTTTTGGGGTCTCACTCAAAGGTGCTCATGTTGAACAGGTAGGGTACATTGAAACAATCTGAGCCAGTAAACTGTAGCATTTTTAAAGCAAGGCTTATGAAATGGATTCATTATTGAATTAATTCTTTTCCCCTTATAGGAATAGGAGCTTAGCATCAATAAATATTTGTTTCTGTATTATCGGATTATGCATTTGTGTAACATGTTAATTGAGAAAAAATAATTTTCTTCATTTAACTTTATACTTTTTTTTCTCTTGGAAGTTTATGTATCTAAAGATGATGTTCTTCTGCAATGTTATTAAAGGAGCATCAAGTTCTTTGCACATTCTTTTATTTTCTGCTATTAATCGATCCGTGTAGGGTAAGAGGTCAACAGGGGAATCCTCACATGCTTTTATGCTTAAAATTATATTTTCTTCTTAAATACATAAAATGTGACATTGGATTTTCATGTCAAGGATTCATCATGGCATCAAAATCACGGGTTAATTTAAAATCAAAGTGAGCTATGGTTCTGATGATTTAGGCTCTAGTTTTCAAATTACTAGTATTTCTAGAAGAGATTTTGTATACAGTTATTGAGTGTATGTTTGGATTGTCTGTGAGTTTGCTAAATTTGCAATGTTGTTTTGTTGAAGCTTTAAAGTGTAGCTTTTGTCAAAATTGCACCGTGATTCCTGCAATCCAAACAAACAAGCACTAATATTTTCTATACGTCTATTCATGTATTTAATTGAATAAGGTATAAATGATCTGTTTCTTAAGATCTTCTCGCAATAAGAGATGAATCAGACTAACCAGGAGAAACATTGATAGAATCAAAAGATAAAATTGATCATACAAAAGATGAAATTGATCATACGTTTATTTTCAAAAGTATTCTAACAAGTTTGAAGAAATATTGCTATTTTAGCATTGCTAGTGCACAAGAATCAATGATGAACAAAGAATAAATTTAAGAGAGTAAAGAGAATGACGGCGGTAAAAGCTACAAGAGGAATAAATGTTGTTGTATTTATGACATTTACAACTAATCTATTTATACACAAGAGAATACCACATATGCCTTAATAGAATATACTTAATAACTAAGTTATCTAAAACAATTAGAAATACTAAAATACCCTTTAATACCATTTCTTAATTTAGAATTTCTAATTAAAACTAACTACAATAATTTCTTCCCTTAAGCGAAAAAATTGATCTGTCTTGATTGCCTGTGTCATGATATCTGTTAGTTGCTTCTGAGTGTTCCAATGCACAACTTCTAGTACACTGTTCTGGACTCGGCATTTCAGAAAATGATACTTTGTCTCAATATGATTGCTTCTCCCATGTAGTACTGGATTCTTGGCAAGATTAATTGCAGACTTGTTATCAATCATCAGCTTTAGAGGCTTATCTACGTTGATCTTCAGATCTTGCAGTAAATTCAGAAGCCACACAACTTGACATGTAGCTATAACATCTGCAATATACTCAACTTCACACGTTAATAGAGCAACAACAAATTGATTCTTGGAATACCAAGAAATAAGATCTCCCAGAAACTTAAACAAGTATCCAGAAGTACTTCTTCTATCAACTCTATCTCCACACCAATCAGAATCAGAATAACTCATTAACTCTGAATCTGTTTTTCTTCCAGAAGAGAATAGTACTCCAAACTCCAGAGTTCTCTTGATACACCTCAGAATCCTGACAGCAGCTTGGTAATGGGACCACATAGGTTTACTCATGAACCTATTAACCAATCCAACCACATAACAAATGTCAAGTCTGGTATTATACAGATACCTCAGAGAACCTACCAACTCTTTGAACATTGTAACATCTACGTCTTCACCCTCAGAGTCAGAATCCAATTTATGATTGGTTTCTGACGGCTTAACAACGGCCTTATAATTCTCCATCTTGAATTTCTTCAGAAGTTCAAGTTCATACTTCAGCTGATGCGAAATTATACCTTGTTCAGAGTATAATACCTCCATCCCTAGAAAGTAAACCTGATTTCCTAGGTCAGTCATCTCAAACTCATTCATCAGAGTCTTCTTGAACTTGACAACTTTTTCAGAACAACTTCCCGTCAGCAATATGTCATCAACATAAAGACATATCAGAATCATATTGCTTTCAGAATGCTGAACATACACGCCATACTCCATCTCACACTTCTGAAAACCTTGTTTCTTGAAAAATGAACCAATCTTCAAATTTCATGCTCTGGACGCTTGCTTCAATCCATACAGAGCTTTATGTAATTTGTACACCATCATTTCCTGATTCTTTTTCACAAATCCAGGAGGTTGTGACACGTATACCTCTTCTTGTAATTGACCGTTCAGAAATGCAGACTTCACATTCAAATGCATCAGAGGCCAATTTTTATTTGCAGCTAAAGCAATCACCAGTCTGATTGTTTCATGTTTAGCTACAGGCGCAAATACCTCAAAGTAATCTAGCCCAGGTTTCTGAAGAAAACCTATAGCTACTAGACTTTCTTTGTGCTTTCCAATTGATCCATCTAACTTAATCTTCACCTTGAAAACCCATCTGATGTTGATGGATTTCTTCTTATCTGAAAGCTTAGTCAACTTCCAGGCCTTGTTTCTTTCTATAGCCTCAAGTTCTTATTTCATGTCATTCAACCATACTTTCTTCTTGAGAGCTTCTTCAACACTCACAGGTTCAGAGTCTACTAACATGGTACACTGAAAAATTTCTCCTTCTAAATCTACTCCAGTGTCTTGCAACATGTCAAACTCTTCAAACCTTCTTGGTATTCATCTGATTCTTTGTGGCCTCTGAACTTATTCACAAACTCTTTCCAATTCTGGAACAGTATCAGATACTTGACCACCTTCAGAAGTTGGATCGCCTTCATAGACTTTACTTTATGAAGTTTCACCTTCAGAGTCATGACCTTCAATAGAAACATGATCATCTTTAGAAGCTTGTCCTCCAAAACATACATCTTCAGAGTTTTTACTTCCAGAAGCATGACCACCACCATATTTTAGATCATCATCAAAATCTGGATTAGAATCAGATTCATCATCTGACTCATCTTCATAGTTTTCAGAATCATCATCTGACTCTTCTTCAGAACTATCAAGTTCTGGCTTATCTTCAGAAATAGATTGAGACTTGCTCCAATACCATACTTCTGATTCTTTTACAATGATGTCTCTGCTGACTTCAACTTTATTCATTTCTGGACAATAAAGCTTGTATGCACATGTACTATGGTACCCCACCAGAATCATAACTTTGCTTCTGTCATCCAACTTCTTCCTTCTAACTTCTGGAACGTGTTTGTAACATACAAAACCAAATACCTTCAGATGACTAACACTTTTCTTGTCTCCAGTCCACTTTTCTAAAGGAACAATTTCCTTCAGCTTCTTCGTTGGACACCTGCTGAGCACATATGCTGACGTGGCTACAACTTCTCCCCACAAGTTATGAGGTAGCTTTTTCTCTTTCAGCATGCTTCTGGTCATATCAAGCAAAGTACAATTTTTTATTTCAGCAAGACCATTGTTTTAAGGAGTATAAGAAGCAGTAACATCATGCTCAATTCTATTCTCATTACAGAACTTCTGGAATTCTATAGAGTTATACTCACCTCCACCATTCGTTTTGAGAATCTTTAGCTTCTGACCACTTTGTTTCTCAACCTTCATCTTGAACTTCTGAAACTCGATAAACACCTCATGTTTAAACTTGATGAGTGTTACTCACATCATTCTTGTGAACTCATCCACAAAAGACACAAAATATATATTTCCTCCAAGTGAAGGTTCTGGAAGTGGTCCACACACGTCAGAATGCACTACTCCTAAAGTATGTTTTGCTCCTGGAGCTACTTATGACACAAATGGCAATCTGGATTGCTTTCCTTTCATGCATACCTCATATGATTCTAAGACTTCACAATCTTTGAAATGCCACGCACGAGCTTCTTAGAACTCAGATGCCCTAAGCTTCTGTAGTTCAGATGCCCCAACCTCTTGCGCCACAACTTACTATCAACTTCAACGTCTTCTGAACTAAGACATTCTGCTTCTGCTGTCTCCACATTCACCTTAAATGTCATGTTGCTTCCTTGTTCTGATTGCATAATTAACTTCTGATTAGAATCATACAACTTCAATAGATTGTCCTTCATAATAACTGAGAAACCTCTCTCAATGAGCTAACCCACACCCATCAAATTGCTCTTAATTCCAGGAACGTACTGAGCATCCTTGATCAGAACGATTTTCCCATTCTTCACTTTAACTTTGAAATTTCCCATACCTTCTACATTAAGGTATTTATCATCAGTACATTTGATTTTTGTCCTCCTTCTGGAGTCAAAATCTATCAGCCATTATTTGTTTTCAGTCAAGTGATTTGAACAACCAGTGTCCATGTACCACCAATCTGCCTAACACTTTCCATCAGATTCAAAA